CGCGTATAATATCACATCGGTAACGGTCGTTTTTCAGTATACAGGAGTACAGGACGTGCTATAAAGCGTGACTATATAATCTATAATACGTACACGATCGAATTGCTGAAAAGTACTCGTCTTTTTCTAACACTATGAAATTTGTTGCTAAACGTCCGGGAACGGTGTATTGTTTTAATAGTATTCGTTTGAAATTATCTCAATAGGTATCTCACGTTATTTAAATAAAAAACACAGTATAACAATATAGGTTTCTCCTATAATATCCACGCACAAATTTCAAATTATAAATATCGTCATCGTAATAATATTATATAGGTAGTATAGGTACACACCATACGCAATAATAAAATATGTACCATTATACGGTAGTACCTATGGCTGGCTAATAAAAAAACCTATACGTGAAACTTGGCAGAACAATATTAAACTTATTTTTACGAATCACACCCGCAGACTGAGAAAATTTGTTATAATCGTCGTAATCAATTAGTATAGTAGGTGCCGATAATATAATATCAGTCTAAGCAATTTGGTAGGTGATAAATTATTCGCTCGCGTTTAATAAAAAAAAAATTCTAAGAATAAACGTGATTAAACCTGAATAATACTGCACACTCGCTATCGTAGTAATTATTCGTATGTACTAAAATATAATATAATATTTATTATTATATCACAGTCCACAGACATGTGCCTATGCGACTATATACAATCATTTATTCGATGCTACTGAGTGACGACTAATCGCGTGCCGATTTCGAACTTTTATTCCGTACAATTATTATAATAAGTACGTGTCGCTACGTAATAGTTGCGCGGGACACGAACTTCGAGGTAGGCTTTTGGTTTCTTTTTTTTTTGTTTCGTTTGGGGGATGTTTGTCAAAAAACGGCAGGTCGAGTTCCTCAAACGACGTTCACAACAACAACAACAACCACGATATAAACCAATTATCTACGTCATATCGGCTCCTAAACATATAGATACTCGACGGGAGGGTCGCAGCCCCGTGGGGTTCGACAATAACGATAGACAATAAATTGTGAAGCGGCGAGGGTGGGTGCCCGACCGAGAACGTCTTTATAACGTACAAGTCATCGTAACTGCGTGTGGCGTACCTGTAACAGGGCTATGACGATCCTGGTGGCGCCGCTCCGGACGGCTATTGTGCTGACGGTGGTGGCCGGCGGCCGGGAGTCGCGGTCCATCCCGGGCCGGCTGCGTTAATATTATTTTCCACCGGTTCCGCGGTTAAACGCCGCGGCCGTTGTACACGCGCGCACGCGGGTCCGATAACGTCGTAGCGTTGCTCGGGGGGAACGTTGTTGTGGCGGCGGCACCTGACGCGAGCGAAGGGGACACACGCGACACAACCGATCGGTCCACCGGGTTCGGACTGACTGCACGCGCTCGAGATGACCACAGAGTCGTGTCGCCGCACCCACCCCGCCCGTCCACTTACCGACGCACGACGCGACCACTTCGCCGCCGCCGACACCGCTGCCGGTTGTTGTCGGTTTATCGCTCTCTCGCGACTCTCGCGACTCTCGTAATAATATTATTATTATTGTTTCGCGCCGCTACCGTCCGCGGCCGACACTATATGCCTACCTAGTACCTACATCGAAAACGATTTTTTTCGTTCTTATATAGGATCTTGTGGAAAGATGAAATAAGTTAACGGCAAACCGCGGCCCGAGATACTCGCCCGACATCGACGTGACAGATTTCCCCAGCTGGTATGTTTCGTCTGAAATATGTGCAAAATCAAAACTCGTTTGGTCCGAGAAAGATAGGTTCAATACAATATTTTGATACATCGGAACGTGTGTGTTCGGACCGACAACTTGTCTCGTTATGATCGAACACGCGTCGTAAGGAACACGAATAACAATTTTTCGAAACATTAGCGGATAACGCACATCTTGCTCGGCCGTGATGTACAAAATATATAATAAATAATAATACTATACATCAATATACCACCGCACGGTTTCGTAAATTTTGAGTAATAAAATAGAATCATAATATGCTTCATGTTTTGTAATTACTATTCGTTTCTATACAAATTCAAAATATATTAGGTATTTAGGTATATTATAATACGTAAATAACAAGCATAATATAGATAGGTAACACATAATTGAATTTAATAAGTACAAATATTATGTTCCTATTTGTCTAGACTATTACCTAATAACAGCCAATAATTGGCTATAAGTTATTGATATATTATCAGCAATTTGACGCAGTACGTAGTGGCCTGTGGGTTATTCGGGTCGCGTGACTGTGTGACGGACACAAATACGTCTTGCGCAACAATCATACTTAAACATCCTTTGATGTTTCTTTAGAATACCGACAACGTTCATCTACACTCACGCTCACCAAATGATACAGCCTGTTACGAAAAGATAACTAAAAATTAATCTAATCAAGTATAAAAGATAATTGAATAACATTTATCAAGATAAAAATAAGATAATAATTAATTTTACAATTTCATGTTTTATCTGTTTAGACTTTTTTCAATCATTTGAGTTTTTAAATAAAAATAAATTACATGCAAATAGTTAGCTTAGTTTATATCTTTAATATAATAATATAACTTAAAGTTTTAACTGTGCATAATTTTTCAGTAATATTTTAATTACTTAATTTCAAATTTTAAAATAAACTATTTATGATAATATATAAAGTAGGTACCTATTGACACGAAACCTAACTGTGGTCGCTGTATGTGACACAATGATACTTGAAAAGTTATACTATTGTCAGATGTTTCCTTTTGTAGATTTTAATGAATATTATATAATAGTATGCAACTTTATTATTTGAGTGACACATTATATTTATAGATATTCATTTAAGCAGAATGTTTCGGATCGTATTCACATATTTTATGTTTTTTTTTTTATTACAAACAATACTAACTTACTAACTAATGCAAAATAACCAACTAGTACAGAAATAATATTATATAGTAAGCGAGCAAACAAAATAATAAAATGTATAATATACTCACATCCACATTAATCACTAATCAGTAATGAGTAGTGACTAGTGACCCTAGCAGTTCTTAATTAAAAAAAAAAATATTAATAACTGTAATATATCCATTTAAAAATAATCAAAAAGATAAAATTCATTTACTGCAGCAAAACTGTAAAAAAACACGAGAAACCCTAAAATACAGTAGAAATAGGTAATGCTTATTATATATTTATATATGTATATTATTTTGACTTCCAAAACTTAAAATATGGTTATAAGTTATAGGGGTACCTAATATCAAACATTTTATATTTTTAAATGTCGGACTTATGCATTACATACCTTGAAATATATATGATAAAATATAAAAACTGCAATGATGAGTATAATAGAGGTAATACAATTTTATTTATCTACAATACGTATTATACATATATAAGTGAAAAATATGTAGCCAATCGAATTTCAAAAAGTTCAAAAAATCCGATTACTGATTTATAAAAGGTAAACGGGACCACAACGCAACTGTCATGTGTTTAATAGACGCAGCGAGGGCGAGGCCAAGATCAACAAGTCACTTGTGATGACGCCATGGCGGATTTCGGAAATCAACGGAAATACGACGCCTACAACGAAAATGATGGGTTTTAGATCGATGAAGTGGGCGCATGGATCTAGAAATGGAAATAAATTATAATCATAATACCAAGAAGTCCTGTCCCGAGGAATTGCTTACCACCTATGCAGTTACCAATAACATAAAAGTGTTATAAGACCCGTCTAGACAGGGAACTGCCCGACGCCGTCTAACTAAAAAAGTTAGAGAATCCAGGAACGCGCACGGGGTCTTTGCATGTATTTTCCTCGCTTGTTCGGTTAAGTTGGCTGTAAGTGCAGCACGCTAGTATCCCAAAACCCTATTAAGATGGACCCTAGAGAGGAGGCGGCCCTACAGGGTCACTGCAGCTCACTACACAGTAAATTTCTGCAGGAGCGTTAACTATACTGCTTAATGTTTACTCAGTTGCTTGTATATACATTATAATATATTGTATTAAAATTAAAATGGTATTTCAAACAAATATTTATAAATTCTGACATCATTCGTAATGGAGTGAAGTCACTCGTAGTTATAGATCAGGAAACATCATAGGTATTTAGCAAAACTATGCTTAATTATATAATTGATATAGTTTGATTTATATTTTTATGTTTATTTATTGATATCACTTTTTTCAATAATTTATGACTACATTTAGTACAATGTTGTATCAAAATATTGATTTTATTTATCATACAGAGTGACTATTTTATTTTTAACACAAAACTGCATACATCCCCGAATAGAAATGTAAATGATTAATAATTTTTAAGAAAATGTATAGATATTATAACAATAGCTTATTTTTATATGCTATATTAATTTTCGTATTATGTTTATAATTCTAACCTTTATTATGATTTTACGTTTTTAAGTTTTGACAATGAAACGTTAAATGAGTCATTTTTATAGAACCTAGAGCTATTTTTTTTTTAAATATTTAGTGTTATTTCAATTTGGCTGTCATCTGATTACGTTGATAAGATCACGACTATGGTATACACAATTAAGCTTAAACTTCAAATAGAATTATAACAGCAATACATTTTATTTTTTTTTTTAGAATAATAAAATTGCAAGTTTTATATAATCAACATGTTTTGAATGATTTGATTACATATAATAAATATTAATAATTTCATTTGAACTCCAGTCTATCTGTGATCTAGTGCAGTTTTTATGTAATGAACTGTACCAGCACGTACACTTGTAAAGTCTCACCATCGGAGTCATAAATATTAACGATGTAATTAAAAAATAAAACAATAAAATAACTATTATAACCCTATAGTATAACTAATTCCTTGACCTTTTCTTAGATGCATCAGTCACAGAAATGCAATTAAATAACTAATAAATGAACGCTTTGAAATGTACTACGAAATGTTGGGATAAAAATAAATTATGTACTTACTTTAGGCTGTTTTTCAGTTCTCAGTATTGGCGTATCTTTATAAATATATTCGCTGGTTTCCACGCATCCTCGAACAGGCGAAAGCATTAATTTTCTAGTCTGCAACACTTCTCGGACGACAGTGTCCGTATCAAACTGAAAAATCATAACTCAACGTCAAAATATTCAAAGGAACTCCCAAACACTAAATATTACACCGTTAACACTTTTACAACCTATATATATATCATATAAACAAATTATTAAGTATTGATTATTAAGGATCATTTATAAAATAAATCCATTATATAAGTTTATCAATACGATTCATTCCTTATGATGTTTGCATGCTTAAGATATTTGGTAAGTTATTCTACAATAAACATTTTACTAATATGTAAATTTAGATGCAATTTAATTAAAATTTATATACCTAGTATTACAAAAAATTTAATCATTTTTACGTTATAATTAAATATAACAAAATATAAGATAACATAAAAAATGTTGTTTGATGGTTTATTGAATTTAAAACATATGTCTGTGTAAATAGATAAATAAATGTTAGTATGCCATATACGAACCATATCTGATATTGATCATATTAATACATTATTGACCACAATTATTTGAATATGTTGAACATTTTTTCAAAAGTAATTTTCAAAAAAGACGTACCATCACCCCACCCCAATAAAAAAAATAAGTAGAAGTACGCTATAAGAAATAAAGAGTAATAGGGGAGCTTTATTCTCCTGCACCACCTTCCCCAATTTAAGTTCTAATCATACCCTTATGTTATACAGTAAAATGTACCATAGTACAAAATATTTATAAAACGATATTTACTTCTTCATCTTGATCAGAAGCGGTAGGCGTACATGATCCATATGAGGAAACTTTTGAACTTAAACACTCCGAAACGGTATAATAATCATCATCACTCTCCATTTCTCTGAAAACAAAAATATTTTATCGATGATCATAAATATGATCATATGATCATAAAAAAAATAACAATCGGTTGGTACCCCAGGCCAAACAAATTATTATCATCTCCCATAAAGATAAAAAAATGTATGTATGTTTAATGTTTGTATTATTTAATAATGAAATATAATATATGTCACTTTCCTGAAAGTATTAATTTTTTAAATTGTAAATCAGTCTGATCAAAATTCTATATTATCAGTTTCTTAAAATAATAATAATAATAATGTTAGGTCTTTAGGAACCATAATATGTATGCCAGAACAAAATAAAATTGCATTTTTACTAAAAAAAATTCTGAACTGAGAGAATAAAAATATTTAATAACTTATTTTTGTTTCTATAATAAATTAAACATAGCATTTTTTACTCTTTAGATACGGTTGCACTTACAAAATACAAAAAATCATAAATAAACAAATGTAAGCAACAAACATATTGAATTGTTACGCTCAAGGCTCAAATTGTTGATGACAATACGAAACATAATATAAATCATAATAGACATTGGACAGTTTAATTGTTTGTTAATATGCAGGAAAGGTATTAAGTTTACGAATAAATTTAGTATATGATATCATGATTCCAAAAGGCATTAAATTATGCCATTTAGATATATAATTATCAATATTATGCATATGACTTGATAGATAAAAATACTAAATAGTATTTTTGATACAAACATATTAAAATAATTATATGTTGTAACCTTTAATAAGTATATAATAACTAGGTATAGGTACTTAAACACTGTAAAGAAAAATTAATGACAGTTGTAAATATTGTTTCAGGTTTAATCATTAATCTTGATCGGAAAACCATCACGATAATAATATTATGTTGCCAGGGATTGTTTATTGTTCTGAGGCCAAAGCTAGTAATTAGAGAGTGTTTTAAAAGAACTGTTGTAAGTAGGTACATACATTTTCCACAACACTAGTTAATTTTATGTAATTTTATCATTTATGTATACGATCATACTCTTCGACTTACATATTTGATAAACATATTATCTAAATATGAAAGAACTTTCGGATAAAAATATTTAAACTTGAAATGCATTTCAAAGCATTCGAACCACGCCCTGAAGTATCGATTTAATAAATACCCATCTACAATATGCTTTTTTATACACAATTTTATATTTTAAACATTAATGTATCGTTCACACGGCTCAAATACGTTCAATTTCTTCAGTGGTATTATCTATATTATTGTTAGGTACCTACCTAAAGCCCAATCCGCTGAAAACAATTGTATTTTAAATGTCAAACTATTGTAATATTGACTCTATTGATCTCTGATTCTATACGACGCGAAAAGAAACAAATGTACTTAATACTTATTCAAAAGACAAAATACGACATAAATAATGCCTGTCAAAAACACGCAATAATTCGTGATTTAACTTAGTGTAATATTTTACTACATATACATGTATATGTGGTGTCTCTGTTGTGTCTCAACAATCACTATGCAGATTGTCCTCGTATAAAAATTACGATAATATACCCGCTCGCCAAGTATTACAAGTAAAATTCGACTTTTAAAAAGCTCACATAAATTATTAGCCCAATAAATTGGCTATTTGCCTCACACATATTATTACTATCGTTAAGCGTATAACACAAAAACAACAAATTTAATTTTCATTATTCTTACCAATATAATACTAAGACAAAAATAAACGTGGCTGCGATTAAAATATATATGTAGTACTTATACTGTAGTAGTAATATTTAAACAAATGTGTCAGAAAATATTAAGTTTTCGCAGATGCACGCGAGTGGCGAATGGGTACTGGGTATACTACATAATGTACACATTTATAGTCATGTCCGCATAGACACAGGCGCTATAATAATAATAATATTGTGTTCGACTATGATAGGACGTACAGTTATATAATATTATAGTTCATATTTTGTATATAATATTTTACAATATACGCTCGTGTGCATACGTCGGGCCGGGTTCGGTTACTTGCAGGGTATAAAGATCGAACGTGTAATCTATAATATGCATCGATGTTATTATATGGAGAAAAAAAACATCAACAAAAAAACACGAGAACACGGCTTTGGAGCGTCGGCATTTCATGTCGGAAAACCGTCGTCGCTGCGATCTTTTTTGGCAGATTGCCGGGGCACAGAGCGAGATTGGAGAAAGCTCCTTCGGGGTTCGTATTTATAGCGTACAATATCTCGGATATTCGCGCACATGAGCACACATGTCGAGTCCTAAAAACAGGATCCTCTGCCTGGGCCAGACCACCGGTATACGCGTTATTTTACATTATATACCCACTGTAAACAATCATCGTGTGTATATAATATGTATTAAATACAGCATGTGATAATAATAATTTTTATTATTGGTACATAACATAATATTATATATAGGTACCACGAACCGAACAGGCGCAATCGTACGCGTGGGGGAGAGGGGCGATTGATTTAAATTTATGTGAGTATTTTTTATTTACTGCGCTTATGATATTGTTTTACGAAATAATTGTATTTCTTATTTTGTATAGTCAATTTTAAAAACGCTCGCAGCAGAACAATATTAAAAAAAAAATTATTTGTAGAACACGCAGCTTATGAAATATAGAAATAGTTTATTTTTATATACAGAGATATCTTAGATAATAATGTGTAAGGCTCTGTCAATGGGAGACAAGCTGCAGACAGCTGTTTCAGCGCCAGACTATATTATTGACTAAAAGACTTATCGCGTCGAGCTATGACAATTTATGATAATATTTTGTGAAAATATTTAACATAATTTTTCAATTCAATATCGATCGCTCGAAAATTAAATAATCGATCAATGACCAACAAATCTACAAAGATGTTTAATGCATAAATTCACATTGAATTTTATCAACTTAAATCGTATAGGTAATTTAATATTAATGCGTCTGCGTGAGTCGTAAGTATGCAACTAATGACTATATTTTGTTATCTACTTATCTTTACATGCAGCATAGGTACTTAGTATAAAATATATTATAATAATTTCCGAGTCTGTCTGAATGTTTTTATTTTTAATATAGGTGCCTACTCCGGAACTCGTAAATAGTATACTATCTAATGTTTGTTTTTCGAATTTGATTATATTCTGGAATCTGTATTATATAGGTTTTTTTTAATTTTTTATATAATAATATAATGTCCTGTTTGTTGACGACGAATAATACTAATAATGTCTGCCTTGTCTGGTACTCTAGTAAAATTAACTAAAAAATATATAACAAGTAATACCACTATCGAGGAGGTTAAGATGATTCAATGGAGGACTCTATAATATTTAATGGAACCAGTACATGTTTACTCAAGGGGTAGGAATGCATGCTTGTTTTTGAAGTGTCATCTGGGAAGAATTGTGTTATTATAAAGGGTTTTTTTTTTCAATAACAGGAGGTTACACTTTTTGTCGTAATCACGATATTAAAAAATCTCTTAATACTTTGAAATACTGAAATTAATATAACATATGATATTGCTTACATATTAATATTGAACAGAAAAATGTGTAGGTAATAGGAACATACCAAAATAAATAGTATATCGTGTGGCAAGGGCGGGAAGTGAGCTATTTCAGTCTAAAGTAAAAAAATAAATTACTCTTTCCGTGTTGAAAAGTTTTACATTGTACAATTCGAACTATACTTCACTGCTATACCGTGCATGTATGGATAGATACACTTATTGAAACTCGAAAGACATAATACCAAAACATAAAAGTTAGTATCGATGTGTTTTTATATGCGACCTCAAACTGATCTATAAAGGTATATCGTAGAAGGCATTCCTATATTATAAATATCAGCCATCTGAGTCATTATGACGTAATATTAATGGTAAATGGTAATGAGCAACTGACATCGAGAGTGATCAGTATTATAGTACCTACCTATATAATAGTAGACTCTTATAAGTTATAATACTATAATTTATCACTTTTTTTCTTTTCTAACCTTTGGAAATTGTAAAATATTTATAGTCAGATAGATACGCCACTGTGTGGGTAGTTGGTAATATTATTATGTATGTATTATAACCTTGTATTGTAACTGTTATGTAGGTACTTATGTGAACATAAACATATAATATATTATAAAATGTGATAAAACAACATAATTTTCTTACTCTAATTCGAGTGTCTAAAAATGTATTTATTTATCTAATGAAAAATGTAATACCTCTCAGTGTACGGAAATCACTTTTATCTTTTACACTCGTGTTTTATTTAAATATCTATTGGTTATTGTCTATTGATAGAATCTATTGATATAAACTGCGGTAACTGTTTCTATAACCTCTGCAAATATTCTATTTTATTAATTAGACTTGTAGAATTGTGAACAATTGACTATGTAGTAAGTATTTAACTCAAATTTAAAAGTACCTACTTACCTACTGAATTACCTACTAACTAAAATACCAATCTCAAAAGTTGGAAAATGGGTTTTAAATTAATAATAATAATAATCTTATATAATAATATTAAAAAATTTTAAAAAGGGCATATTATTATTGAATTAAAATTCCAAGCCCCCTCCCCTCTAAACAAATACGGTTCAAGTTAATTTTAAATATTTTTTTTCTGTACGAAAATTCGTACGTGGTGGGAAGATTCAATGAATTCAATAAACCCTGATGCAACGGAAAATGCAGTTGCACTTACCTATGTCTAGTATAAAATATAAATACATATTAAACACACTATACATACTGAGTATTTACAATAAAATTAAAAAAAATATATTCATAAGCCCATAATAATAATAATATAGATAGGTAGGTACTAACTACTATAAATATACAAAGCATATTGGTAGGTAGTATTGATACGAATATTGGTGTGGTTTGTACTTACAGTATTATTATATTAAAATGATCATCAGCGCGCAAGTGTGAGATTTAACAATAACAATAACAATAAATTACAATTAT